GGCCGTGCCCGCCGCTGCGGGCGGTGGCGCCGGGAGGACGGTCAGTGCCTCGTTTCGTGTTTCTCTTTCAAAACACGTTTCTGTGTAAAATCTGTTATTTCTGTTAAAAATCTGTTGTTTCTGTTAAAAATCTCACGTACCGGATATTTCCACCCCGGGCTCCGTGCCCAGCCCCGCGCTCCGGGGGCGCTCAGGGCGCTGACACTGACGGAGCCGTTCCCTCCGGATACTGGGGAATATATCTCTGGATATCGGAGCTGTTCCCTCTGGATACTGGGGAACATCCCTTTGGATATTGGAGCTGTTCCCTCCTGATACCGGGGAATATCCCTCCGGATATCGGGCCCATTCCTTCTGGATACTGGGGAATATACCTCTGGATATTGGAGCTGTTCCCTCCGGATACCGGGGAATATCCCTATGGATACCAGGGAATAGCCCTCCAGATAGTGGCGCCGTTCCCTCGGGATACCAGGGCTTATCCCTATGGATACCGGGGAGTATCCCTCTGGATAGCGGCGCCTTTGCGCTCCCGCTATTCCGAGCGAAACACCGTTCAACCTGTCACGCTCCTCCGCTGCTCCGAACTGGATCCCAGAGGCTGACGGAGTTGAAACCCACCACGGAATTTCCCAGGTCTGCGTGAGCGGCGTGCGTGGGGCCGTGGGTGTGTCAGGGCAGGGATCTGTAGTAGTAATTAAGTAGCAGCACTAATAAATTGTAGTAATAAACGAGTAATTCCACTTGTCTGGAACCTCCGGCTTTATCCCAAAGTCCTGCGAAGTCAGAACTCGGAGGTGAAATTCTGTAATAATGTTTTTTCGATGCTGTTTTTAAATATATCTCCGAGAAACCCGCTCTGAAAAGGACGAAGCCGAAGAGATTTTCAAAATCGGGCTGCAGAGAGGCGGGAGCTCTGCGGAGGGAGCGCGGAGCCCCTCATTGCTGCTTCAGATCCGTCGATTTCCTTCTCTTGGCTGCTCTTCCCGGCCCCTGAGTGGAGAATTAATTGTTAGAACTGACGCCTGCGCTCTTAATTTCCAGTTTCAGGAACAAAAACCGTGTTTGATCAGTTTGCTCTGTAACTGGACCCGCGTTAACGTCGAGGCTCCGAAGGTTTTTCCACGTGGGGAAGAAGCGCCGAGGTCAGACATGTTTCCGTAAGAAGATTTTCTCCTGCTTCCAGATAAAGGAGACTTGGTTTCCAAAGCAGATTAGGGAATTAATTGGGTGTAATTAAATGTTGTTGCACCTGCAGCCCGGGACTTGAGAACCCCTCACGGTTAACGGGGAGAAATATTTACCTGGAAATAGATCCCTCGTTTCGGGTTTGAACACAGAGGTGGCCGAGCACGTGCTGGATTTTTATGGAGTGGTGAAGTGGAGCGTGTTCCAAGGAGTTTGGGAACCTCATGGGAAGGAGACTAATGAAGAACTGAAAAACACAAAAAGAACAGAGAGAATTTGAAAAGAACTGAGAGAATCTGCGTTCAGCTCTGGAATCCCCAACATCAGAAGGACATGGAGCTGCTGGAGCAGGGCCGGAGGAGGCCACGGAGATGATCCGAGGGCTGGAACACCTCTGCTCTGGAGACAGGCTGGGAGAGTTGGGGCTGTTCAGCCTGGAGAAGAGAAGGCTCCGGGGAGACCTTCCAGCACCTCCCAGTGCCTAAAGGGGCTACAGGAAAGCTGGAGAGGGGCTTTGGACATGGGTGTGGAGTGACAGGACACGGGGCAATGGCTTTGAACTGGAAGAGGGGAGATTTTGATGGGATTTGAGGAAGAAATTCTTCCCTCTGAGGGTGCTGAGGCACTGGGCCAGGTTGCCCAGAGAAGCTGTGGCTGCCCCATCCCTGGCAGTGTTCCAGGCCAGGTTGGATGGGGCTTTGGGCAACCTGGTGTAGTGGAGGGTGTCCCTGCCCATGGCAGGGGGGTTGGAACTGGATGGTCTCTGAGGTCCCTTCCAACCCAAACCATTCCAGGATTCTCTAATTTCCGAGAGAAGCCGAAGCGCAAAGGGACGCCCCGAGACCAGACGTTCTTCCGTTTGTGGGGGGGATCTGGGCGTGAAGGCGGAGGCTGATTCGGAAGGACCGGTTCGGAGCTCGCCGTCCTGCCATCGCCTCCGAGCGAGGGCTGCTGGCACGCAGGGGGTTCAGGATTCTCCCTGCGGAGCGGTTCGTGAGCGCCATTTCAGCTTCCTCACGAAGGAGGAAAACACGGCTCTGAAGCGATGATAATCCGACATTTTGGTTTTATTTTACTAATCCGTGGTTTTCTCGTCTGTTTTCTTTACAGGTACAAACCGAAATAATTCCGTTCAGCTCCTGGCAAAGATGTCGCTCTCCAAAAGGGAATTGGATGAGCTGAAACCATGGATCGAGAAGACGGTGAAGCGAGTCCTGGGGTTCTCGGAACCCACCGTGGTCACGGCGGCGCTGAACTGCGTCGGAAAGGGCATGGACAAAAAGAAAGCAGCCGGTACGTCCCTGCAGAGGTGGGCAGAGCCTTGGTGGAGAAAATGGGTGCACACAGACCTTAAATGGCTCTGAAATAGCCTCAAATCCAATCGAAACTCGCTCCCTCGATTATTCCTGGGAGTCTGCCCTGCTGCTGGTGGTGCCAGGCTGCGTGGCCGGTCGTGGCTCGATGCCAGCGCGGACTGGTCAGTCTGGAGAAGAGGAGGCTCCGGAGGGACCTTCTCGCTCTCTACAATTACCCAAAAGGAAGTCGTAGGGAGATGGGGGTCGGTCTCTTCTCCCACGTTAGGAACAACAGGATGAGACGGAACGGCCTCAAGTTACACCAGGGGAAATTTAGGTTGGATCTCAGGAAAACTTTCTTTCCAGAGAGGGTTGTGAAGTATTGGAACAGGCTGCCCAGGGAGGTGGTGGAGTCCCCATTCCTGGAGATGTTTAAAAACCGTGTGGATTTGGAGTTGAGGAACATGGTTTAGGGACCCTGACAGCGCAGGGGGAACAGTTGGATTCGGTGATCCTGAGGGTCTCTTCCAACCAGATGGTTCCATGATTCTATGGAACCCCCAAAGCCTGAAGCTCTCGAGCGGACGGGGGTGATTCCGACTCAGAGGCGAGTACGTGCAAATCCACGCCGGGGAACGTGGTGCGAAATCTGAGGAAGTACAGAGGAATTCAAGGAGGAATTCCCCTTTCCCTAAAGGAATCGAAAACGACAGTTTAACCTGCAGCACTTTGGTTTTGACCATTAGAGCCGGGATTTTTTCACTAGTCGACGCCTGGGCTGCCTTAATCCAGGAGTTTAAAGCTCCTGACAACAGGATCTGCAGATCCTGGAGGATCCAGGAGTTTAAAGCTCCTGATAACGGGATCTTCAGATCCTGGAGGCCTCCGGAGCACGGCTCGCAACCCCCGCCGCGGTACCCGGGGGGGATCCGCCTTT